CCAACCTCCCTTCTCAGCATTGCCCCTACCCCACCTGCCCTGAGCACAGCTCCGCCACCTGGAAGAGCCCGCTGCGACCTCTGGTCCTGAATCTGCAATAGGCAGCCTGCCCTCACCCTGTGCACAAATCCTGGGGGCACATGCACCGCTTGCCTCCCCTGGGGGTGCATGCAGTGGTGGGTAGCCACGCACCCTCTGTGCTCCCTGGATGAGTTGTCTGCGACTGTCCTGTGCCCTGGCCAAAGACTACTCCAAGCTGCCAGGCTGCATATCAGCTATTGAATGGTATCTGCCGATATGGCTGGTTAATAATTGGCCATTAGTATCAGCCAAAAAAATCTTTATCAGTGCACACCTAGTTTGTACAGGTAATGTCGAGACACTTAATGGTTGAGCTATAATATTTGAACGTTGAGATTCATGTTATTCCCCTTTTAAATAGGGGTGCACTGATACATCGTGTGACTGTCGGATTGGCACCAATAAAAGGAGAAATGACATTATTGGCTATTGGCAATCAGGATTTGTAATAGAGATGATATCTTTTATTAGACCTGTGAAGATCTGTGATGATGCATATTACCTTGAAACAAAGGCAGGACCAGGATTTCGGGTTGCAGGTGGTCACAGTTATCGGCTATTGGCTTTTTTTGGTTGTTGTAGCCGATAATTATGGCCACTTGCCTGGAGCACCCCGGCAAGTGTACTCTGGTCCCTGTGCCCTGCTGGCGGCCTGAGCCTGTGGCAGACTACAGGTCCTGGCAAGCAGGTGGCACCAGGCAGCAGTCACAGGTCACTGCCCTCAGCAACAAAGGGACAGTGACCGGCTCCTATTCTTGCTGCTGCTGCTGCTGCCACTTACATGGCAACACCATGCACACAGCAGGGGCCTGAGTGCCAGGGCTGCTGCAGAGATGTTGGGCTGCATGCGGGCAGGGTAAGGTGCCATGCGAGGGACATTTCTGCTCCCCTGGGCACCAGGCGCCTCTTCAAAAATGGCTTCTCCCTGGCAGTTGCAGGAGCTCAGCTGTGCAGGGCCCACCAGCACTGAGGCAGTGGCATACTCTGGGTCTCTAAATATGCCTCGTGCTGCTGTCTGCGTGAGGGTCTGCCATGCCTGCCTAGGACGGCAGCACGGGCTGCACAGGGAGCGGGGCTGCAGGTAGGAGCCATGGGTGAGGGGGCAATGTGCGTGGGAATAAGGTGGTCACTGCCTTCCTCATCAAGGACCAGAGCAGGGTTTTGTTAATAGTTTAAAGTGCCTTGCGCTATTACTAAATATCAGTTGTTGGACTGACATTGGCCCTTATGGTTTGTTAAGTATCGGCCAAGAAAATCTTTATTGGTACACTCCTGTTTTTTAAATAAAAAGCGTGCCTGATTTTGAAAGAAATGACAGAAATTAATCCAGGGCAAGCAAAAGCTGTAAAATTCAGAAGCCATATAATTTAATCACAGACTCCGTTCTATTAATAGCCTAAGATGTTGTCAGCTCCTGGGAACTCCCTGGACCGTGACAGTCTAGTGAAGCAGAGCCATCATTAGAGCTTTCACTCTGGATCTGAAAGCTGGTTAATTTATTCAGGAGCCAGTGCACATTTCCCAGCAGTCCAGAACCTGAGGTAGAACAGAGTGTATGTTGGGGGAAATAATTAAATATACATATAACGCTCAAATACAGAGTGAAATAGAGGAGAAAAAATTGAAAAGCAGTCAGGACCAAGATCTCAGGCCTTTTACTTCATTTTTCAAGGAACTGGAAAAAAGAGGTTTGTCATGATTGAGCAGCCAGTTCATTTGCCAACGCATATTAAAAATAGTCATTTAGATTACATTGGTAGCAACTCTTCCTGTTCTGAGTGCTTTAGAACGTTAATGTAGCTTTACATTCTGATAAAATAATCCTATAACACGAGAGGTATCCTAATATGCCTCCACAGTGCAGGGTGCTAGAAAAAATTGTTTGTGGACAGTCTTCATCTTGGTCCCATTTTCCAGGTGGGTGCTATTGCTGTTTCTGTTCAGGAAGAGAATGGTAGACAGACACTCCAGTGGAATTGATAGAGAATACTCATATTTTCAAAAATACATCTTTGTGTCTGGAGGCTTGGATTTTCAAATGGTACCAGATGGCTTGGTTACAGGGAAGGCATTATCATTTCTGGTCATCTCAGTATATATGATCTGAAAGTGTGGCTCGTTAGCTCCTGTGCATTGGAGCCATGTTGGATGCCTGGAAAAGGCTACTAGGGAGACAGCAAGTAACTTGCTGGTGTAGATCACTGGTCAGTGTTTTTTCCAGTGGTTGGTCAGAATTACCCAGCTTGGGTCTGAGGTTGGCCCATAATAGGACCTGTCCACCATCACTTCTGCCTGCTGCCCTGTTGTGGTGCAGCACAGATGAAGCTCCGTACCATCTGGCTGCAGCACAGTGGTGTAGATGAATCTTTTGTCAAAAACCCCACTAAAGCCCTCTGGCTCAGTGGGTAGGATTTGACCTGTGGGCCATAGGTTGCCAGCCCCTTGTGTAGATGTCAAGGCCTCTATGACTGAAGGTAGAGCATCCAGTATTTTCAAAAAGCTGCAGTTAAGGCCTCTTCCCAGTTTTGGGGTAAAATTAACAAGAAGTGTTGGGAACACTGTTGTGGCAATATATGGGTTGTCCAGATTTTCTTGATTGTGGATACAGGACAGAACCTCAAAAAGGATGTAGTAGACTTAGAAAAGGTACAGAGAAGAGCAACCAAAATGATATGGAGTATGAAGCGTCTGGCCCACTGGAGAAAAAGATTGAGCACCACTGCTCTAGATCAGTAATTCTCAGCCAGGGTGCTTTAGCCGTGAGGGTGCTTTGAGATCCTCTTAATGGTGCCACAGGGTGCCATAGCACTTGGTAGTATTCCAACATGATTCACAAGATAAACCTAGAGATTTCAAGCAGGAATTTGTAGTGTAAAACACATTCTGACCAGTTGTGGTCTTCCCGAGTTTTTTGCAACAGAAGAATTAATCTAGTGTTTTTTCCATAGTCAAAAAATGAGTGAAATCTAAAAGCTGACACTTTCTTTGAAGCATACCTTGAATCTAAAAAGATTGAGAATCACTGCTCTAAATATACCCTGTTCACATGCTCTCTCTCTAAAGCACCCACCTCTCCTGCAGACCTAGTACTGGACTAGATGTTTCATGTTCTTAAACTGCTGACACATTTTGTTCATTGATTTTTCTGCTATGGGCCAAGGAGACATGCCTCTACTGATTTTTATTAGACTTGTCTTCTGCCTTTGTTGTCATACAGCAGGTAGAAGAGGCTATAAGCCTTCCATCCTTCACAGGAGTAGAGCAAGGGGAAAGACAGGCCACTCTAAGGGTACTCACCTTGGGGGCTGCTGCAGGGTTCCTCTGTCCCCTCTCATACTCGGTGCGTATGAGCCACCATGAGGTATAACAGGGTGATATGGGTGCCTGTGCAATGTGGATGATACTTAACCATGTATCTAAATTGTACTGGTGCACCAGTGATGCAAGATATAGGTGTCCCAATGACCCCAAGAGATTAGAGGTTGGATGGGAGCTGGTTGCCTGGAGATTGATTCAAACTAGAAAGATAATAGTAATAGTTGGAGAAAGCAACTTGAAAGACTGGTTAGAATAATCTCAACGTCTTTAATTTGATGATGTATAGCTATTGTTTGTGAATGAGCTTCACAGATTTTATTAGGCACAAAACTGCTACTTGGTGCACAGATAGCAGCTGATTTCCATCTTTGGTAAAGCAAATGCAACCTTTGATGTTTTGAGCCAGGGGCTTTGAAAATGAACTCAGGCCTTTACCCTCTCAGGGTCATCTTCTCTTACATACTTAATTTCCCCCTCTACACATCATTAATGTGGCAGAGCCATACACCTGCTTTATCAGTGGTGCTTGCTAGGTCCTCATCTTGGGTGCATGGGTATGTTGCACGTGTGAGGAGGTGGTCAGCAGTCTGTGGTGCATCACCACACTCACAAATTGGACTATCATTTAAACCAGGGGCGGGCAATTATTTTAGGCAGAGGGCCGCTTACTAAATTTCAGCAAGCCATCAAGGGCCATATGACAGGGGCAGATATATATATTAATTTTCTAAATTTTTAGGGGCCCTGCGGGCTGGATAGAATGGCTGGGGGGGCCGCATTTTGCCCACCCCTGCTTTAAGCCAATTTTATAGAGTGTGTCATTAAATCATCCAGCTCCAGAACGAATCCTGTTTAGTTTAGTCCATAAGTTGTGAGGGAGCTTCTACCCAGGTGGAAAGGGTGTTGGGTTGCCTATGAAGCACTTGAGATGAGAATCAGTCTCATCCCACCTTCTGTGATGTTGTTCAAGTATCCAGAGGGTGCTGTTTTCACCTTCACACTTGCAAAAGTACCCGCACCTCCCATCTGAATGAGTTTCTCAACTTCAGTTGCTTATGTCCTAGTTGCTTATGTCCTGGCTGCTTCAAGACTTCGTGAAGCAGGTGTTCCGGGTTTTGTTGGGCGTGCTGAGCAAGGCCAAGAGTTGCCTTCCGTCCTCTTAGTTGGGGAGGTAGTGTCCCTTGTAGTATTGGCAGCATGGTGACAGGAGTATATGTTACACATCCCATTACTATTCTCATTGCTGAGTTCAGGACAACCTCAGCTTTGATGGTGTGGCTGCTGTGCCCCCATGCCCCCATGTTTGGCAGCAGAATTCAGCAGGTGTGTATACTAGTGCAAGTGTTGATGTTCTTAGAGTGGTGAAATTGGTTCCCCAAGTTGTTCCTGCCAGTTGTCTTAAAGCACCTTCTTAGTTGTTTTTAGCAGGTGATCTCCTATCCAGAGTTACTCCCAGGTACACTGGGTTGTTTCATACTTGGTAGGGTTGGAAGTGACCTGAGCAGATCATCAAGTCCGACCCCCTGCCACGGCAGGAAAGAGTACTGGGGTCAAATGACCCTGGCAAGGTGTTCATCCAGCCTCCTCTTAAAGACCCCCAGGGTA